GTGTGAAAACAGTTAAGTGATACCTAACATGAGATTTTATTGTTGGCCAAAGTTTAAGCAAATGAGCCTTGCCTGAATTTAATTATCCGGTCGATAGTTGTCGCTTGTGCTTCCATTTGACCTTGCGAAATGTGTAATTGGCATCTAAATATATGTGCCTGTTAATGCATGTCTCGTTTGTGTGCAGTACCTCAAGGGATTTGTGGCTCTTCTTAGTTGAACAGGCGCCAACAAATTTGGTTTCCCTCCCATGAAAATAGGTGGCCTGTGTCCAGTGTTTGCATAGCAACCTGGGAAAGTTAATATCATCTCCTTACCGGTATTCGATGTCCATGTATTTGTGTGAATATAGATTCCCCGTTTTGGGCACAATTGACTGCATATTAACTGGTACACACCTTGCAAGGTTTTCAGCCCAAATATTTATAACGTTTTCTCGCGGTAATCTGCAGCATGCACGTATTTGACGTTCGGCTTGACGACTTACAGGTTTTACTAGAAATGAATGGAAGCCAGTAGATATGTGCGCATTAAGTTTTCCTCTAGTTTAATGCTCCTTTTATCTATCTTCTACAGGCATAAATCGGGTGTCTGCGTTTCTAGAGGGATTACCGCATACTCTGCAGGCACGATCAAGCCTCCGAATGGGTGGCCTTGCCCGCGCTCTACGGCACTGGGAGTCGGCCTTTGCAGAGGACAAGGTTGCACAGAAGGCCGTCTACGTGACCGGTTTCGTTTGTGACCATCCACAAGATACTGAGGTCGGCGATGGAGGAGGCAAGCGGAAACCTAAAGTGGGTTCTGAATCCGTAGGTGCAGCTGGTCAGGAAGCGATGACGGGTTTATTGAACACGTACGCCAGCCTTCATGATAACGATGGTAAGAGTGCAAGCGTCCAATGCTATCCCTCTCTTGTGCTTACGTGTTCCTCTTTCTTCTGATTCTTCAGTTGCAGACTGTTATAGCCCAGTTGTTATAACCCGACTAGTAGGCAGAAAAAGACAGGAGAGCGGCTCTGATGGCAATGGCTTCATCCAACACCATTTTTAGCTTCTCCACTCCAGCGTACTTATAAGGTTCTGGTCTTTCTAGAACATTCCTGACCTATGGTGTGCGAGCGGGCATTCTGGAAACTTATAGTCTGCAGTCACTTCCGACGCTGTGTGGGCGGTCGTCACGT